CACTATTTCAAAACTAGATCAAGTAATGACTGTACTTATGGGAAAAATTTACATAAACTCTTCAAAATCTGAAATTTAAGCAGTAACAAAACACAGAAAAAGTGCTAAGAATGACTTGACTTCTCTCAGTCACCTAATGTCAAATGAGAAAATAGTTTAAAGTGTAAAAATTGGTCATTGCAGGAGTCAGACTCTTCGAAGTAAAAATTTCTTGCGACTTGCATTTGCTTTATTGACCACATTTTTTTTCCTTTTTGGCAGTTCCTGGTCTCTGCTTTAAATTAATTGCCATCTGCTTCCACTTTTTTCTGTTTCTTATGCATGCAGTTTTCCTGTAGAGTTGCCTTCTAACCGGCCTAGCCAGCCCGGCCCATAAACAGCCCCGTTCCCCTCTGCCGAGGGACCACCCAAACCACACAGTAATTCAGCCAGTGAGATGCTTTCCACTGACCTAAGGTTCTGTGCTGTTTACGACAGTGGTTTCCTTCCAGAGCCTTTTTGTGGGTCTTCTTTTCACCTTTTAGCACAACCTGAAAGGTCATTTTGTGTTTCTTCTTCTCCCCTGGACGCCCAAAAGTTGCAATCTGTGAAGCAGCCCAGAAAGCAACCCTGCTAGAGCAGGTGGGGACCATCTTCACTGCATCGGGTGATTTTTCTACATTAAAAATAATAATAATAATAATACCATCAGCTCTGTAGAACTGCCCTTTTTCTCTGACTGTCATAAATCTGGATATTTTTTTTTCCTGATGCCAGTACATAGGTTGTATCAATTATAATTTTATTCTGTGAACTATATGGATTGCCACAGAATTTTCTGGTATCTTCTGATTCTCAGGAACTGTTTCCAAGTGGCCAATTTTTTGCCTTATTTAAACTGGTAAGGTGACAAATCCCGAATCAAGTTGATGAGAAAATCCTCAGATGCTCTGGTGCTCTGATGCTTTTGTCCCAAAACCTGTATCTTATCTTCCTGCTTGTGTTCAATTCTTCCAGAGGAAAAGGAAATCATGGCACATTTAGAGATAAGCCACTGTTCATCACTGTGCTGAATGAGAAAGAAAGCTTTGCACATCCTATTTCCCAAATTCTTCTGAAACAATTTTTTGCTCCTGTTTACTTGCCAATGTTTTGGTCTCCCACTTAATATATCTCAGTGGAGAGGTCAGAATACTTTCCAAGAAGGCTTTCAAAAGAGCAGTAAGTTTGAGCAAAGAACCCAGACCCAATAACAACCTGCTGTGCTGCACTCTCAACAAATGTTTTTAATAGAAAAAAATATGAGGAATTTCAAAACTGCCAATGAGAGTTAATATGTAGAAACTTATCAGAAACTATCATCTAGAGGCATTAATACCCCTCGAGGGAATTGGTGACAGTACACCTATAGCTTGGTGTAGTGTCAGGCTGTTGTAGTAACAACAACTCGTAACTGCCACAAGGACCGAAGACCCATCCGATCTGGTGAACAAACTCTTATTTACTTATTTAATGTTGCTGTTTACTAAAGCCATTTGTGTTTAAACAGGGATTTGACCCTTCACAGGCCGCCTTAGCCTTTTATTTGATTATTTATATAGCATTAGCTTTTATTTGATTATTTACATAACATTATCTTATCAAGCTCCAGTAAGAACAGGCAGCACGAGCCACCCGGAGCCAACAGCAGTAGGAAACCCTCCCAAGGAGGCCTCCTCAGATACATACTGAGCTTCATGCTAGCAATGTGCACCACTGCGATAAGGGGTTTGCCCTCAAAAGAGCTATAAGTTGCCCTGCCCGAAGGCTGCCAGTGTAGTTATTGCCAGATGCAAGGGAAGGATCATAGACTGATTAGAACACTTTTCTCTGAATGGCTGTCATGAGATTTCCTGAACTCACACCTGAAATCCAAGCAGTCCAAACATTCCTTAATCAGCTGTTTGGCATGTTGACACCCCAAAAAAGCCCTGCTGGGTGCTGTTTTTTTTTTTTTTTTTTTTTTTTTTTTTTTGTGGCTGCAGCTTACCATCCTTAATGAGAAAACGAGCATTAACTTATTCCAATATGAATAGAAAATTTGATATTCCTTTCATCTTCCTTTTCACTGTCCTTCTCATTGCCTTTTACTTTCCAACAAACCTTCTTGTTGCCAAAAGCTGAATGACAACTGGTCTTTTGAGCATATTAGATTCAGAAAAGCCACACTTTCCAGACTGACGGGCCCACGCGTATCTGAACCCAGGCAAAAGTAGCTGCCCTCCAAAGCAGCTGGAAAGGCAATTTCTAAAGGGATACAGCTATATTTGCAATGTGGGATGTTTGCACATGCTAATGCCTTGTTTATCTTGAAGGCAGCTTGCAGTAAGCCGCTTGTCCCAGAGTGTTTCCTAAAGGATCAGCCTCACTTGCAGCAAGACATAACGGGCCATGTAGCAGCTTAGAGCAGTGGACGTGCAGGTCTTCTCTGCTGCTGCAGCAGAGAACTGAAAAGGTAGAAGCAAGATGCTAGTTTTGAATAAAAAGTCAGCGTAGGTATATTTCTTCTTTGGCCTATAAGAAATATCCTGCTATTTTTGCTTTTTCTTAATAGCTGAATAAAATACTGCCATATTTATCTGTCAGCTAAGTCAGACCTCAATCCAGCACAGTGGATTTCAGTGTTTCTTGAGGATTTGAATATTTTGTGCTGCAGAGTCCCTCTTTTCTTATTTAGCTCCAGCCTGAATCTGAACAACAGCCTTGAAATTTAATATATTCTTTAGCTGAACTGGATTAGTCCATATGTGCTCACTTGGAAGGAGAATTCCTGGATATTTTTTTCAACTTTTGAGTTCACTGCATTTGGTATAAGAAGGCAAGTAATCGAGGCGCTGGTCAAAAGCATCTGATTTCTCATAAAATTGATAGGGTTCTAGGAGTAAAATCGTTCAGACTCCGAAACTTGTTATTTTATGTGAATTTCAGCAGAACTTAATAGAGTCTTTTTCATAAGTACCTTTTCTATCTTCTTTTTCTGAAATTATGAAATGAAATGCAAAGATCTCTATTAGAGTTACAGAGTTAGGCTGTGATTGGATTAGTCTTGACTTCAGATGCATCCCCTTGAGAAAAACAAAAACAAAACGCTTGCTTGATTTTAAATAACAGAATTATTCGCACTCACTATTCAATGCCACCTGAATTCAGGAATGCTTTGAGATATTTGTATTCTCTTTATTTAGTGCAGCCTCAGAAATATCTGAGGTGTTTTGCTTTGTAAGCATGCTGAATAAGGATGCGATGTGATTGCCTACACCTCCTTGTTGCATAGGCACACTTTGCTGAAAGAAAACTTAATTCTCTCAGTCCTGATAGATCTGAGAATGGGATTACTCCTCCTGTCCCAGTTCAACAAGGGACACTTAATTAGGAGAACACTTAAGAAGCCTGAAATGCTTGGAGCAGAAATGATAATACTAGGGTAATAGCAATGTGATTTGTAATGCAAATACAACTCTGCCCAACAGCCTTCATGGCTTAGTTACATATGCTGATTTCCAACGGGGTTTTGTATAGCGGAATGTAACATAGCACATTCTCCAATCTTGGTGTTTTGTTGGTGGATCCCATGAGCTCCTAAAGCTCTAGCTGAAGGCCATGGAAATTAAGGAGATCTCAAAAGCTTTCACAAGGATTATTCCTGCAATAGTTACCATTATACATAAGATAAGAAGACGACGACTATTTTCTATATTTTGGTGCCACTTTTTGTTGCTCAAACTCACACCATATAGAATCATGAGCTTTTATTTAATAGAGTTATTTAATATGATGGTTTCTACTTCACAGATTCTTACGCTAACCCAAAACCTTGCTCTCCATATGAGCTCTGTTAGAACACTTGAAGCTGAAGTTGTCCAGAAATAATTTTCTTTCACTGATTATCATTTCTTGGACATTTGCTAGTCCCAGAGGTTTTAGTGGGTTGAACAGCATTTCTGACTGTGCAGTTAGGTTTGATATTTATTGCTTGCAGAGCAATCAAAGTATTAACAGGTGAATGAGCAGACTAAGTGTCTCACCTGAACATCTCACACTCTTACTTGGTAACAATGGACAATGTAAAAATGTAAAAATGACCAGCGTAACATATAAGCTTTTGTGACTCCTTCAAGGAGGTCACCAAACTTCTCAGGTCTTCTCAGGCAGTGACTTTTCCTAAAATGACTCCTTCAAGGAGGTCACCAAACTAGTTTAAAATGTCTTCTCAGGCAGTGACTTCTCCTAAAATCAATAATATTTCAATTTTTATGAGATATGAACTTGAAGATTTATGTTTGGCACCTGTGCAATACGATATATTGATTTTTACAGAGTTTTGGAGGAGGGTGAATTGCCAAGTAAAGGTCTCTACAGAAAGTCTCCCTTGATTCTGAGATGTGTCCTTGAGCCATGAGAAGCCGTTCTTGAAAGACAGGTCCAGAGTGGACGCTGAGATACTTTTACTATAACAGAACTAAAGTGTTTGGTTGACATGCATTGCTGTCACATGGAGTCCATCCAGCATACACCTCTTCTTCCTCTCTGACAGTTCTCCCGTATCAGACGATATCTAACATCATTCCCATTTCTTTCAGGTCTTCCAGTGACCCTTATCATTGACCCAAATCTCTCCCTCACCAACTCTTTCTTTTCTTGAAGAATCTTGACCATTTATTCACAGACAACTCACACACTCTGAAATGATTTTTGCCCCACTATCTGATGCAGAAAATCAGTGCACTCTTACATTCTTAACTTTCCAGCTCATTATTTTGCTGAAATTGTCAGTGCTTCCTTTATCTTTACACTTTCCTAAAACCTTTCTTCTTACCTTCAGCTACCTTAATGTAACTCTTAATGAATCTGCCCTTAATGAAATGGGGCATTTCATTTATCCCTTGCTTTTCTGAGGTCAAGAAAATGGATGGAAAACTTAAAATATTGCTGAGTAAAAATAGAGGACAAGCAAAATATAATGAAAATCAGTGAGGTTAGCGATGGCTTGGGATCTTGCAGAACTGACCTGCAAGATGTTGTTGATCTGCAAGGTGTTGTTCTTAGATGGTGGCAAACAAAAAGGAACAAAAACAATTCTCTTATTTCCCCGAACAGTGAGCTATGTTTTGAGACAAGATTTTGACAGAGAAATTTGAGTATTAAACGGTTAGCTTAAGATTGTATCGGGTCATGTACTCTGTCTCAAGAGCAGCTTAAAATTGTTTTAAGCCTGACACTGTGTTTCAAGGGCAGATTTCTTCAGATGAGAGTCGGAGAGGACACCAGCTGCAGGCAGCTTCTTGAGTCTTCCCTTTCACAAATTCACTTGTGATTTATGAGAAAAAAAGGAAAGAAAGAAAGAAAGAAAAGAAAAGCAGGACTTTGACACCTTTTGTAACAAACTGACACCACAGCATTTCGTAACACCTGGCACTAGGATTTTGCCAACTTTGGCCATCTTAGTGGCATCTTTTCCACAAATTTTAGTATTTTATACAAAACATTTTGTGTGTTTTGTCACAAAAAAGTAACAATCAAGGAACTAACAGCCGTATCTACTTTGAAGAGCCGCAAGGCCCGCCAACAGCAGGGCCTATGTGAGCTACAACTGGAGACTCTTGAGCTATCTGCCCCAGGCCCTCTCAGCAACGCTGTGCATGGAGGAACTGGCATGGCCTCCCGCAGGTCGTTACGAACAGTGGCATTCCCACCTTTTTTTTCGGTTTGAGCGTATAAAATAGAGGGAGAAGGCGGTGCTTGCCGCCTGCCCTTGTGTTTACCGGGCATCGTGTTTGTCAGGGATCATGGAAAACACCCCGAAAAGCCGCGGGGGCGGCGGCGCG